TGTGTAATTTGGATGCCAAAAACCTGAGATCAAATTGTAGCTTGATCATTTATTAGCTGCAGACAAGGCAAGCTACATAATTTGTAGGGCCCATTACGAAATGAAAATGTGGACTCCCTTATTAAAAAGGTAGAAAAAGAGTGCCATTAAAAGTACTAAAATAAAAGCTTTCTTCTTCCTTTGACAGACCCTCTTCAGCTTCTTACAGTGTTTTTATTTGCTATTTAATGTTCTAAATAAAGAAGATTTTAATTTAAATTATTGGCATGAATTTTATCATTTCATCATATATCTTTATATTGAGCAATACCAGTTTAAAATGCAAATATAAGAGCATTTACTTTGAATACACCCATATATTTTATTCTTACCAGAACAGTGAAAACACTGCACTAATTCAACTGTTTTATTTCATTTCTTGATATAGAACACTCACATTCTGCCAACACTCTCTCCTTTCAACTTATGAATAAATAAGGAAAGACTTCTTAAAAAGTGTGCATTGCCCTATCTTTCTCTTTCCTTCTGTGTTATAATTTTCAGCATGAAGGATTGGCTCGTACAGGGAAGTAACATAAGTACACAAGACTTCTTGGTTGTTTGTGTTACTTAGCACACCATTGCCCGCTTTTTACATTTAAAGCAAATTCTGATTTGAATAGTAAGCTTGCTCAGTCATAGATATGACACACTTACTTTACACTGATTTTGAGTTTTACTGACCTCACACATTCCACAACAGAATTCTGTGCTCATGGGATGGCAAAGAGCACACACTGTGTGTAGCCCATCTGCTTATGCATATGCTCCCTTGTCCCATCTAACTTCACTTACAAAAAACAAATTCTATGCAGCTGCACAGATCATATCACTGACACTGAGTATGAAGTTGACTCTAGCTATGGGACTTTGTAAATCATCCAATCCCTCTGAGCCTTAGTTTCCTAATCTGCAAAATTGGGATAATTATACTTAGCATGCAAATTTAAATAATTACCTGAGAACTAAGGAAACAATATATGTAAAATTGTTATACAAGGAGAGAAGAAAACTAATGTATACTGAGCTTCTGAGTCCCGCTTCGGCTATTCCAAAATACTTGCTCAAGATCATCCAAGACACCCTTTATCCCTTGAACCTTTGTAGATTTATTAGTCTTAGGAAATAATTTCTGCCTCTCTGAGTCCCTTCACCTGGTAATACTAACTCATTGTCAAATTCTACCTTTGATGCCACTTAACTTAACAAATGTTTATTAAGCACCTAATATGTGCCATGTGTTATGCAGGGGAGCAGAATGGGGTTCAAGTTAGCAACCATTCTCAAGACTGGTTAATTTCCCCTCTCCTTTGAACTTACCTCTGTCATAGCATGTATCACACTATGTTATATTGCCTGTTTGTATGTCTGCATCCCATCTATATTGTCTCCTTGATCTCCATCATAACTGTAGTACATACACTGTGCCTGGTATATAGTAGATACTCACTAAATATTTTTGATTGACCGAATGAATACTAGCCATTATTGGAATGCAAGGTGAAGAAGTTGATCAGCAGTTGAAAAGATGACCTGGATGAGGAGAGAGGAATGAACTGAAGAAATAAATTTGGGTAAGAAATGTATTTCTTAGCATATAGACTACAGAAGTCATGGAAAAAGAGGGGACATTCCAGGGAGAGTATGTATAAGAAGGAAGAAACCTGGGATGGAGTCTAAGCAACATGTACATATCAGGGGAGACATAAGTGGAAGGACCTGAGAAAAAGACTAAACCAGTGCTCACAGTGAGGTAGGTGAAAGATCAGAAGAAGGTGTGATTTCTGAGAAATTAGATGAACTCATTGATTTTGTGATTAAAAGATATAAATACAATAAAGTAATTTCAGTGCTCAAAATGAACTTGATTAAAGGGTGAATATGATTTCAGGAGGATGTCAAATTAGGTTCATTGCACCATTTACATGAAGACAGAAATAGAGATTTAGGGTCCTTGATAACAGAACTTGTATAGAATCTTAACTATTCTTGTGGCTTCAATGGGAGAAATTGCAAACAGCAAAGAAATATGGAAAAGAAAAGGTCCTCAGAAATGTCCAGACTTGAGGGCAATTGAAGGAACAGTCTACAAGTAGTAAGAGTAATTAAGAAGTGATAACTAGATCTAAGTAGACTGAAGTTCAACAAATGTGCCACCTTTAAAGTAAGCAATAAGTTATGAAAGAGAGACAGGAAGGATAGGTGTTCCTAGAACAGCTTGTTGGGGAAGGAGAGCAGGAGGTTGCTAAAAGGTTCTTCAAATTCATAGCCAAAGTACCCTGCTGAGAATGAGGGTCTCACAAGTTCGGTCATTCTTGAAAGGAATGGGAAAGGCTTTTAGTCGTTAAATAGGAGAAGAATTGTCCAGAGATATGTCACAGAATTGACCTGTGGCATTAAGTGCCACAGGATCGTGGAAGGCTATAACATTGAAAATGTACTAAACCCACTATTGGGTGATTTCATCCAGCAGTACTCAGCAGGTTGTGAGTAGGAACAGAAAAGAATGAGCCATTAGATTTATCCAAGTCTGGTTGTTTACACGGTATGTGTCAGAAGGACAAGAGGACGAGATTTGATAGTTCGGATAAAAGAGGCTTGAAAATGATCAATCATATAGTTCAGTGTGAGTTAGAAAGAAAATACGACCAGAATGGACTTGGTAAATAGTAATAATAAGATACATAACACCTAAGTTAATATTTATTGTGTTTTTATTTAAGCCAGGCAGAATGCTACAATCTTCTTGTATGTTACCTAATTGAATACTTTCAACTATCCTGTGATATGGGAACTACCAGTAATATATATCACTTTGAAAATGAGGATGCTGAGGGTTAGCATGAATAAGCAACTTAGCAGCTTTTTCAGCTACTAAGTAGTAGAGCTTGGACTTGACTTCAGGCCTTTCAGCTCCAAAGTTGTTCCATTAAAGACCTATAAATATTAATGACAGCAAAGCAAAGATGAAGATGAAAGCAGAAGCTCCCTAGATGAATTGGAGGTTATGTTGAATGGACTGAATATTAGATTTTAAGATATTTCAGAGGTAGGTAGTCCATTCAGAAGATGAAAAGACCTAGAAAAGTTGGTGTGTGAAGGGACTTGTAGGGAAAGATACTGTTTCTGCCCAGGAAGGTGGATCCTGCCTCCAGGCATGGATATTGAGAAACATCCAATCATTTTCAATAAAATAACATGTCTAAATTATATCCAAGCCACAATGCTATGCTCAAATTCTCCCTTTTCCACACAGATATCTTCCCTGATTCTCTTTTCTGGAAAGAATTTATTCTTCTTTTGAATTCACATAATTCCATCTTTGCCTGGATCATAAAATAATATTTTGTTTATTTGTATATTTATCTTATTACCCCTGAGCCACATACCCATGAGTCTGTTTCATCCTTAAATTTTCTAAAGCCTCTAAGATAGTTTCTTGCATGTGTAAGAGGATCAATTTAAAAGATGTTGAAAAGACTAACAAATTAAAGCTTCAAACATTTTTTAACATTCAGATGGGAATTGAGTTTGATGTTTCTTTTCTGCCAAAATGTAGTATTTCTAGTGTTTTTATGTTCCTTGAATATTTGAGAGCCTTTTGAACAGAATATAAAGTTATACTGATTTTTAAATAATATTATTGCATTTCTCAACTGAATTTTGAAACTAATTATATGTTAGAGAGATTTCCTAACTGCAAGGTGATAGCATTGCAAATATTTTTTCCTATAAACCTATAAAACAAAAATATAGGATTTTTTCTATCGGAATCTACCTACCAGTAATCACAGCTATATGATTACTTCATATTGACTGACTAGCCTAAGCACTGGAAGATTGTACAGGCATTTAAAAATTATTAAAGCAATGTAAACAAATATGCTATAAACTCCAATTTTAATTGGTGTTTAATTTATTGAGAAAAATGAAGGTGAGATTTTGACACATTTCAGTTTATTCCACATTAAAAAGAAAAGTAAAACCAAGCTTCCAACTTTCATAAAAATTAATTTTCTTCTAAGGAGGAAAACTATTTTATTTGTGCTGTTACTGATGAATTTATATTTAACTATTAAATTATTGTTGTATTATAATTCTGAGCATGTTTCTATTGAATTTAAGGAAGGCCATTTGAGTTTAGTAAAACACCTGCAAATGCAGATGAGTGTGAAATGCTGGCTGCATCTGAGCACATTTAAGATAATGTGTTTATTACTCAATTAAAATCCCAAGTAATCTACTACTTATAAATTAGAAAAAGTTGCTGAATTAAAGCCTAGGTTATAATGCAAAATCAAACTCCTTTATTTGGTGAGTAGAAATGTGAACTTTCCAATATGGTATAAAAATCAAACATAGTGGCGGCCCTAGGCAGGGGCCTGGCCCTCCCATAGTGCCTTAAGTGGGCTCCTGGAGGTGACCACCCTGCAGGGGTTAGGGGCGCACTGGGGGTTACCAGGAGCGGCTCCTAGGTGTTCAGGCGCCCAGGAGCTCGAGGTCGCACTTTTGGGACACCCCCACCCCACTCCCTGCCTGGCCTTAGGATATGCCTGGAGGCAGGGTCCACCTTCCAGGGCAGAGGGTCTTTACTCTCCTCTCCATATCAGGGCAAAGGGCAGTGTTTGCCCCCAACCCAATCCCATTTCTGTTCCCTCCCTTGGACAAGGGGCATTGTAGGGGGTGAGAAGGATGGTCCTTCCTCTTGAGTCGGGAAAGTGCATAGGGGAACTATTTAGGGCTGAGAACTTGGGCAAAATGAGGAAAATGAGCGTAGGAACTGGTTTTGGGACGCTTTGGTGACTTGAAAGGTGGTCTGTCTCTTTGGGGAAAAGAGGGGAGGGTCTCCCACCACCGTGTATTGAGGCATGATGACAAGAAGGTGTCACATGCTGCTAGGACTGACCTCTTCAGCTCCATTTGCAGCCTCCCCATGGCCTGGAGGGGTGGAGGTCGGTAGAATGGGAGGACTTTGCCTCCTTTCAGGAAACAGACCAGCTCCTGGGCTGTCTCAATGCCTCCAGGGCTGGAGACTGGCTCCTCCCAAGATCGCAGCCAAAATTGGAGGTGATGCTGCAAACAGCACTCCTGATTTTGCTTTGTGGGGCGGGGGGGAGGGGTAATGAGACAGTTGGAAGATGGAGATCAACCGGAGAGCAAGAAGCTGGCTTCTCAGGGAGACGCAATCAGTTACCAACTTGGACCTATCCATCGTCCTCCAAGGACTTCAATGACAGAAGAGTACAAGGTCCCAGAGGGCATGGTGGGCCTGATCTTTGGCAGAGGGGGAGAACAAATTGACAAAATCCAACAGGATTCAGCCTGCAAAGTACAGATTACTCCAGACAGCAGTGGCCTATCCGAGCACAATGTGTCCTTGACAGGAGCCCCAGAATCTCTACAGAAAGCGAAGATGATGCTGGATGACATTATGTCTCGGGGTCATAAGAGGACCCCAGGACAGTTCCACAACTCCCACAGGGGCCAGAACGGTACCGTGCAGGACATGGTCCCTGTGGGGAAGGCCGGCCTTGTCATCGCTAACGGCGGGGAGACCATGAAGCAGCTGCAGGAACGCGCTGGAGTGAAGATGATCTTAATTCAGGATGGTTCTCAGAATACCAATGTGGACAATCCTCTCCGGATCCCTGGGGATCCTTACAAAGTGCAGCAAGCCTGGGAGATGGTGATGGACATCCTCCAGGAACGTGACCAAGGCGGCTTTGGGGACCGGAAAGAGCAGGGATCTTGGATTGGCGGGGGGCATCCATGTGCAGGTGCCCAGGCATTCTGTCGGCGTGGTTATTGGCCGGAAAGGAGAGATGATTAAGAAGATCCAGAATGACGCTGGTGTGAGGATACAGTTCAAGCAAGATGATGGGACAGGGCCCGAGAAGACTGCTCATAAAATGAGGTCCCCAGACTGGTGCAAGCACGCAGCCTGGATCATCAACGACCGCCTCCAGAGCCTCAGGCGTGGCCCCCCCAGGCCCTCCAGGGGGTCCAGGCATGCCCCCGGGGAGGCCGAGGAAGAGGCCAAGGCAACTGGGGGACCCCTGCGGGGAGATGACCTTCTCCATCCCCACTCACAAGTGCGGGCATCATGATCATCATAGAGATCTCCTGGCAGCTACCACCCAGCGGGGATCCCAACTTCAAGTTGTTCATTATCCAGGGCTCACCCCAGCAGATCCACCACACCAGGCAGCTTATCGAGGGGGCTCTTCAATCAGGGGCCACCTGGGCTCCCCCGCATGCCAGGGGGCTCCCTCCTCACCAGGGCCGGGGCAATACCTACCCTTAGTGGCAACCACCTGCTCCTCACTACCCAAGCAAAGCAGCTGCGGCTACCGCGGACCCCAACGCCACATGGGCCGCCTACTACTCACACTACCACCAGCAGTCCCCGGGCGCGACGCCGGACCCCGGGGCTCCACCCGCTCAAGGTGAGCCCCCTCAGTCCCCGCCCACCGGCCAGTCGGACTACACTAAGGCCTGGGAAGAGTATTACAAAAAGATCGGACAGGCCGGGCGCGGTGGCTCAAGCCTGTAATCCCAGCACTTTGGGAAGCCGAGACGGGCGGATCACAAGGTGAGGAGATCGAGACCATCCTGGCGAACACGGTGAAACCCCGTCTCTACTAAAAATACATAAAAAACTAGCCGGGCGAGGTGGCGGGCGCCTGTAGTCCCAGCTACTCGGGAGGCTGAGGCAGGAGAATGGAGTAAACCCGGGAGGCGGAGCTTGCAGTGAGCTGAGATCCGGCCACTGCACTCCAGCCTGGGCTACAGAGCGAGACTCCGTCTCAAAAAAAAAAAAAAAAAAAAAAAAAAAAAGATCGGCCAGCAGCCCCAGCAGCCGGAAGCGCCCGGCAGCACGACTACACCGAGGCCTGGGAAGAGTACTACAAGAAGCAGGCGCAAGTGGCCCCCGGAGCGGGTCCAGGAGCTCCCCCAGGCTCCCAGCCAGACTACAGTGCAGCCTGGGGAGAAAATCACAGACAGCAAACCGCTTACTACTGACAGATCCCAGGTCCTGGCGGCCCCCAGCCACCGCCCACGCAGCAGGGACAGCAACAGGCTCAATGAATCGAATGAATGTGAACTTCTTCATCCGTGAAACATCTTTTTTTTTTCCATTTTTTTTTTTTTCTGTTTGGGGGCTTCGGTTTTGCTTGGCGAGAGAGCGATGGCTGCCGTGAGGAGTATTGGGGAGCCCTTGAGGCAAGCACGGGGGCTCAGGGGAATGGGAGTGTGCCAAGCCCTCACTCTCTCGCCCGCTCTGAGTCTCACATACTTTCTCTTTCAAAATTGGGATCCTTCAGGTTGAGCCAGCCAGAGAAGATGGCGAGATCTAAATCTCTGCCAAAAAAGAAACATTACAAATTAAAAAAACAAAGAGCAAAGCAGAAGTTACTAAGTTTTTTGTATATGTATGTATGTATACATAAAAGTCTCTATTCTCCACCCCTCGGCATTCCTGAACCTGCCTCTCTGACAATAAAGCAATTCAATTTCTCCCATCCTCGGCCCTCTTGTGTTTAAAATAAACTTCTAAAAAGAAAAAAAAAAATCAAATATAGTTAACATTGATTTTATTTTCTAGTTTGACAACTCAAGTCTTCATTTCCAAGCATGGCAATCATGTTATTGTGCTGAGGATGCCCTAAGAAAATACCACAGACTGGATGGCTTAAACAGAAATTTATTCTCACAGTTCTGAAGACCAAGAAGTCCAAAATCATGGTGCTGGCCAATTCAGTTTCTGGTAAGGGCTCTCTTCCTGGCTTGCTGAGGCTGCCTTCTCACTGTGTCCCCACATGGTAGAAAGAGACAGCTCTGGTGTCTCTTCCTTTTCTTGTAAGGGCACCAGTTCTATCAAATTATGGCCCCACCCTTGCAGCCTCATTTAATTTTTATTAGTACCTTATAGGCCCTAGCTCCAAATACTATACTGTCACACTGGGAGTTGGGCTTCAACATATAAATTTTGGGAGGATTACAAACATTTAGTCCATAACAACAATTACATTAATTTAGTAAATTAGGTATCTCTTCTATTAATTTGCCTAGCTATTGGCCTATTTAAGTTGTTCTCAAATAGATTACATAATGTTTAAGAAAATACCAATGCCTAGGGCCCACTTAGAGAAATTTTGATTTAACTGATCTGAGATTAGCATTTTTGTTCTTGCTGCTGTTTTGTTCTTAGCAGCATTAGCATTTTTGTTCTTGCTGCTGTTGTCTTTGTTATTGATGAGCTGCTCATTTGGAAAAAAAAGTGACTTTATGTACTTTATTCAGTCATCTATATCTAAAATATATCTGAGTTGCCCAATACATCTTTTTTAATTGAGGTAAAATTGACACACAATGAAATCTAAAGATTAATATAATTAAATGAGTTTTCATAAATATATAGACCCATATGAATATTATCCAAACAAGACACAGAATATTTCTGTCACCACAGAAATCTCTATAATTTCCTCCTCCAGGAAACCCTCTGCCTTCTGAGCAATTATAGTTCTGATTTTTTTCACCATAAATTAATTTTACCTATTCTTGAAATTCATATAAATGGCACCATGCAGTATGTACTCTTTTGTGTCTATTTTGTTTCATTTTGATAATTTAGATTCATCTATATTGTTGCATTCTTATTTGTTCTCTTTAATTGCTATCTAGTACTTTATTGCATGAATATATCATTATTTGTATATCCATCATCCACACTGTTTCCAGTTTGGAGCTATTATGAATAAGTTAGTATAAACTTTTTTATGCATGCTGTTTTATGGGCACATGTACTTGTTTTTCTTAGGTGTATGCCATGGAGTGGAACTGCTAGACTGTAGGGTAGATGAAAGTTGAACCTTATAAGAAACTGCCAAGTACTTTTCCAAAACATTTGTGTCATTTCACACTTTCAGCAGTAATGTATGAAGGATCCAGTTGCTCCATATTGTTTTGTTGACTGTCATGGTAGCTCTTTAACTTTCACCATTTTAGCTGGTATGAAATGGTATCACTGTGGCTTTCATTTGGATTTATCTTTTCATGTGCTTATTGGTCATGCATGCATCCTCTATTTTGTATATTCAAGTATTTTGCCTATTGTTTTAAAATTAGAGTTTTTCAATGAGATCACTTGGACACGGGAAGGGGAACATCACACACCGCGGCCTATTGTGGGGAAGGGGGAGGCGGGAGGGATGGCATTGGGAGTTATACCTGATGTAAATGACAAGTTGATGAGTGCTGACGAGTTGATGGGTGCAGCACACCAACATGGCACATGTATACATATGTAACAAACCTGCACGTTGTGCACATGTACCCTAGAACTTAAAGTATAATAAAAAATAAATAAATAATAAAATAAAATTAGGTTTCTTATCTTTTTATTATTCATTCGAAGCAGTTTTAATATGCTCTGGATAAAAATCCTTTGCATTTCAAACATTTTTTCCCAGTCTGGCCTTTACTTTTCATTTTCTTAATGTACCAGCTTTTAGAAAAGTTTGCCAGATGCAGTCATAGAACTATTACTTTCTGCCATATTTCAGGCCCATGTTTCTCTCCTTTTCTCCAGTGTTTCTAGATAAGAATTAACACTGTTTGACAAATTTGTTTCATACATGCTCATTCATTTAATAAGTTGACAATTGTGTTGAATTTGGGTCACTTTCTATTTGACTTTTTTGTCTCAATTTTGGTACAAGCTAGAGCTTAAACTTGAGTAAAGCATGGCATATTCTGGATGGTATACTAGATTACAGTCCAGTTGGATGTTAAATGAATCCAAACGTTATCACTTCTTATTTTAATAAATTGCTTTCAATAAAAAATTCTCCAAAATCCAGAGTCAATCTTTTCCCTCAAATGATCTCACGTTTAACCACTACGCAGTGGATCACACAATAAACACCATTTGGATTCTACTGTAAATTGTCTTCTAGGTATATTATTACACAATCATAATGTCTTCTAGGTATATTATTATACTTTATAACAAATAAATTTGTTTTAAAATTCTTCATTTGGCTATTTTTGACAGAAAAATTCCATCAGAATTTTTTTTCTGATTTTATGATTTTTATGATTTTTTTATGATTTTATGATTTTTTTCTGATTTATGAAAATTCCAGAATACATAATTTTTTTACACGTTAGCATGACAGCATGTTAAATTAAATGAGGCCATCAGTTTCAAATGATGAAATCACATTAACTTTAATGGAAGCCAACAGTTGTGTCCATACTTATGACAGAATGATTGTGGAAACGTTATTACTTTCATTCAAACATTCAGGACATCCTCAATTCTTCCCCCTCCCTCAAACTCCTGAGACTACTAGCCACCAAGTTATGTCAACGCTCCCTTCAGGATTTGCCTCTAATTTTGTCCACAGTGTCCCATTCCCTCTGCCATTTATTTCGTTGTTCCTGATCATTTCTCAACTTCGCTTTTGCAAAAACCATCTAACTTGTCATCCATACACCAGGTAGATCCCTTTATTCTCTGAAACATTGCCAGAATGATCTTCCAAAAAAAAACCCTGCTCAAGTTGCCTCCTTCTAGTAGGTTCCAAAGGCTCCCTCATATCACTAAGACTCCAAAACTCCTCAGCATGGCAACCGAGCCCTGTTATAGATTAGCCCTCTAAATTTCTTGGTACCACATTCATCTCCTGCATATCACACCACATATCTTTCACTCTAGGCACATCAAGTTCTCACTTTTCCTTCCCTACTTTTACACAAGTTTGTACCGCTTTCTCACATCCACTTCCCTTCATTACACCTGCAGTAAGCTTAGCTCGTTCCAAACAGAACAAAGACAGCCTCCTTGCTTAAGAATTCTCCACTTCTTGCTCCTCAAGTGTCAGAACAAGAAGATTATTTGTAAAAGCACAATGCAGACTGATTTCTACAAAAAAAAAAAGTAAGACATTAAAGATTTTAAAAATTGATAGGATTGCAAGGTAATGGTTAAGAGTTTGGAATCATAGCTGAGTTTTAGATCCAATTTCCTAGACCTAGTTGTGTTATTTCGGGGAAGTTACTTACATTTATTGCCTCAGTTTTCTCATTTGTGAAGTAAAAGTGTTTCCACCATAAAAGATACTTGTGAGGATTTTTTAAAATCACGTATATAGAAGAGCTTAGCACAGTATCTAGAATATAATAAATATTCAACAAATGATAGCCATTATCATTCTTATTGCTATTGATGGATTAAATGGTTGCATGCAGAATGAAAGAAAAGTATCTAAAGGTTAGGTATTGTAGAGAGACAAAATAACTTTTCTGATTAAGTTTGTGAAAAATAGAAGAGGATAGGAATTAATGCATGAGAATGTGGATTACAAATTAAAATCTCTACCCCATTTTTACAAATACGTAGTTTGTAGAACAAGAAATCAACATATATAAGAACACCAGAGAACCTACAAATATCTATTACTATAAAATTGCACAAACTAACTATAAAAGTGCAGTATTGTTTGTAAACTGGCACCAATCTAAAATTTTGTATATAGACAAACGTAATTATTGTACTAGTTTCATTCTAGGTCACGAGACAAATGATTTACCTTTTTAAACAATTATTATGTTTACAGTGCTACTAACAACCAATGTTGTATCCAAAGAGTCTTCAGTGTTCTGGGGTGAAGAGGATAAAACAGAAATTACCCACTGCCAGATTTAAATTGCTTGGTCTTGTGGCTTGTATTAAAAAGTAATGCAAATTTTTTTCATCAATACATTGGTATATGTTTGAATATAAAAATATTTTTTATTTAACACGTAGTAAATATTGCCAATCTAGGAAGATGGGCTGTGTTCCTCACTTATCCCGGGAACACTGCTAAAAATCTTTGATTTGGGATAAATCAACATTTTTAGGTCCAGAGCAAACAACAACAAAAAAGTTTGCTAAAACTGTCCACTTCTTCCAATTGTCTTAAGTTCATACTTATAAAAAGATTATAAGGTCATCACACAAGACGACTGTTCAATTTGATTTTTTTAATCAGTTAAAATTGCTTTCATGCATTAGATATAAAAATATTCAATATAAA